ATCCAGTGACCATGCCCTTAAAAATGAAAGCTTTTTTGAGAGTACTTCGGGAGAAACTGGAACTGCGTTCTATTGTATATAGCATAAAATAATGTTCATATTAGTATATTATTAGTAGTTTAATTATTATATTATTAGTGTTACACTTGTTTTTATATTATTATATGGTGATACTTATATTAATATCATATTATATACATATATATTTTTAATCATTAAATTACGTCAAGCTATGAAGTGACACGCAATACATTGAACCATTGGATGAGAAACGGTAAACTGGACTTACTCCCATGAACTATTTTAAGAGTCCAATCAGCTCTAACACAAAATATAATTAGTTGCTTAGCGTTGTTCGTGAATCTGCAGAGATCGATGTTCCAATACTTGGCGAATTTGCAAGAAGACAACTCCTCAATTACTAGCTAAATCATTTCGAAGCGATTCTTTCTAAAATAAAAAAATCAAAGAAACAAAAAAGCTAGTGGAATCCATTGTCGGAAAGAATAAGTACAATACGAGAAATAGGTAGATGTGAAAGAGATTCCTTACCAAATTCTGGACATCGAACACCAGAGACGAGGAAAGAAGTGCACCACATCTCAGGGTCATCGCAGCAAGTGGCGTGGTGCTCTGTTGCCCCATCTGTGAATCCTGCGGGACAGGTGAGGACCACACGGGAGCCACTGGGGGCGGGGTAGGCGCCGTTCCATCCCTCAAATGACACCAGAGCGTTCTTCATGGTTGGGTGCTCAGTCAGGCAGAATTCTGCCGACGAAAATACCGATTTAAGACTTATAAAGTAGGGATGTGTATGTTCGATATTCTGACAGATGATGCGACTCGTCTCGTATCTCCCTCAGGGTTTATGGTGTCATGTTCGGAGAATGTCAAAAATGCTACACGATCGTGGGAGTGAGGATCTGCATTTCTTAAGAATGAAAAGAGAATTCTTGAAGCCAATGAATTTAAATTCATGTGACGGCAGTTACCATCTGAGAACTGCAAATAACAGATGCATGTCCTGTCTGGCAAATGAAATGATTCAAAGATACTTATGCGTTTCTCATTTCCAAGCCTTTCTCCATTTTCATATAAATGTATACATTGCAGAGACAATATTTTCCACTTTCTTCAAAACTAGCAGATAACCCAATATGGTTGAGCAAAATGCGAATAGAAAAATGCAGTGATTGCATGGTAAACATCTCTAAACTAGGAACTAAATCACTATGAGTATCAGATGATGGATTTTAAGAAAATTTCATTTAAAAAAAAGATACATTCAGGGACTTACTCTGCACGTAAGCCTGGTATCCCTCGGATGGTATGAGAGCGTTTTTGCCATTTTGAATCAGCTGACAGGATCCATCCGACTCACGAAAGTTGAAGGCGTTGCAAGGAATCGGCTGTTGGCTCACACAGAGTATGTTGCAAGCCCCCTTACTCCGAACCTGGAATTCCCGAAATGTATCCGAGTACCTTTGACCGTGGTGAACAGAGTAATATGTGCGGAACGATGATCCCGTCCTCAGAGGCAGAAGGGAGAAGAGGACCATGTAGATCCTCCAAAAATGGGCCATGTCGAACGACTGAAGGCCTTGTCTCTTCCCCTATTTCATTCCTCATCCTTTTCTAAACATTCTACACGTAATATCACGTGACTACGTGGAACGAATAGGGAAGCGATTCGTGGGAATATGAAATCGTTGGGAATTTTTTTTTCCGAAGAGAGACCCGAGGAAATATGGATCTAGCTTCGCGTTAAACCATGTTGGAACGCAGATGGCATTTCGTCGTAGTTCTTTCGCAAAGGCAAACTGAGAAAGTAAACGTTAGGGCGCTTAGGCATGCAGTGGCCTGTGATGGATTGTGCCTTATGTCATTGTGCCATATTGATTTTCCCATATGTCACAGGATACTGCGAAAGGACATTGCACAAAAAGTATTCATGCCTGCATCATTTTTTAATACAGTAACATGAGGCAGTCTCGGCAGAAAGAAAACTGACATCGGAAACGGGAGAATCTAAAGCCTCTCACTTCGGAGGTGGAAGGAACGCTTCGAGGAGCTCTTAAACCCACCAACAGTGGACACTGACTTACTCGACCTAGAGCCTCTAGGCCGGGGAGCGGCCGCTACGCTGGCCGTCTAATAGGTGGAAATTTGAATCGTCTATTATGAGCATAACGTCTCCTTGATAATTCTATGTCCATCACATTACCCATTCGGAATTGAACAGCTTCATCACAATTTCTGGGAGATTCTGTTCCTAAACACCATCATCATCATATTCCGGCTGATTGTTCATTGATCGTTCATTGTGAACGATTCATCACGTTTTCATAAACTCAAGACGACTTTGCTGATTTCGTCTTCCCAAGCACATTCAATACTTTTGCATCACTGATTAACTTATGGGCTATTAGCGTTAGCATATTGTACATACACCATTGATTCTTAAACAGTACTGACCATTTCCAAGAACTTGTTCGAAGGCACAAAGGGAATTTAGTACGTTTGCGGCACAATGTTGGCGACTAATTCCAGAAAATGCCTCGCCTCCACATTACCACGAGGCTCTGAAAGTGTTGCTCACTGATTGTAGCAGGAGCATTTTTCCGTCGTGAAACAAATGACCCCTCCCTATATCAAAATGTACACCCAGACTTTGCTCGCTGCGGCTAACGACTGTAGTGATTTCAAATGATATGGAGAGGCCTGACATGTCCCGAATTCCGTGGTGTAATGGTAGCACACCTGACCGGCAAGCAGGAGGTCCGGGTTCAATTCCCGGCAGCCCACTGACTTTCGACACCTGATTGCTGCGTTCCTTGCATCAAGTTGCCCAGCATCCTGCATGGCTCTCTTATTCCTGAGCTTAGCATTCGCTGTCTCGCTGTTCAGCCTGACGCTCCCTACATGCAACTGGGTATTGTTCATCATTCTAGCCATTATGGCTAGCACCTCCTAAATCACCGATTTAGGCACTTTGCACCGCAACTGCAGTGGCTAACGCTGTTTCCGCGCCAGCACCAATCGTTTATTATCTGCAGCGACTGCCTCATCGGCGTCCTGTGGGACATCTTTCAACATGTTTTTTTCACGTTCAACCTCACCTCGCAAATATCGCGACCATTTTGATTGGAGGAACGGTCCGTTTGTGCGACGTATGAAACAAAGAATTTACGTTATTATTTTGAGTTAATCAATCATGAGAACTCCAATAAGTCGGCTATGACATGAAACGCAAAAAACTATTGCATGGAAGCGATGTCCCAAACCGCCACGCCTGACCCAACGGAAAAAAAATTAATACCGAAAACAACACTTGATCAAAGAATATACTCAGTTGGAGCACTTGCAGTCGATCGGTAAAAACGTGACACGCATTCAGTTATTACCACCCTTTGATTGAGAGGGGTGGATGGCCTAGTCTATGGCCTGAAGTGACGTAATGTTATAGGTCTCGCGTGCTGGGGCTCCTCGAATTAAAGTATAAGATGGCCTGGAAAGGCGTAGCCTTGTAGGCCTGGCGCTTTAGGCCGTGCATGGCCTGGCCTATGATCCAGAATGGGATTGGCATCGTAGGCCTGCGCGTTGGGGGTGACAGCCACGGCCACCACCGCTGCCGCCGCCGTAGCTTTTGACCTCTTCGAATTAAAGTATAGGATGATTCGGGTGCTAGACCAGAATTATGTCGACACACCCGATGATATTGGATTTGGACGATGGCCATATACCTCAAGAAAAGTAGGTCTAAGCGTGTAGTTCAGGTTACCTGTCCAGAATTGAGCTGTGCCTGGGCGGTCTCGGAGGGCGTGACCCTATATCAGATGTTGGGATGTCGGTTGCCGTGGTCTTGCACGTGAATGATGATATGAGTGACATTAATAAGTTTATCTTTAGATAACTAAATCATTTCCCTACCACGGCTAGAAGGGCTCCCAACCTGCAAAATGTTCACAACCGGCACCATCCTTGCCTAACTACTGCAGTCAAGTTTTCCCTTCCGATAAAGACATGAAGGGAAATGGCGTAGTACGTCATCATGCGTCTCGACTTCGGAAAAAATAACGATCATTACCAAAACTAAAGTTCAAGGCCGTACTTAGGACTCCCGAGATCATGCATGCCACGTCGTGGCATAGCACGACGTGTCATGCAAAGAAGAAATATAATATAGGTGCAACCTGTGCCAATAGCTTTCTTTGTATGAATACTCTATTACTCATTTGCATGTCTTGCAAATGAGTTAACGCATGAAATTGGCAAAAAATAGCGGGCTTGCAATTCAGCTTTCCGAAAGCTGAATTGCAATGTCATCAAAAGCGATAATACATGGTGTGCACTATAATGGACATACTTGTTTTTGCTTCTGTGATCTTGGCGACAAATTTTTTGTTATGCTCACGAATAAAATGGCCTTTAATTCTTTAAATAAGAAAGAAAAAATCAAAAGACCTGAATAAGTATATTATCATAAGTCATGCAGGAAAGAGTTAACTATGTTTTTCTCTGCTCCTGTGCAATCAATACCTTGCATCGACTGCAGATCCTTGGCAAATGGGGTGCATTGACGCAGCTGGACGAAGCAGGTCTCGATCGATCTGAGGACGTGGCCGATGCGGATTGTGGTCGCGGGAGCTATATATGCATATGAAATCTTACAATATAATCGGGCAGGTTGTTTATGTCTTTGTGTCCTAATCTCCTTTCGTCATCGTAGATTTTACTCATAGGTGGATGTGTTAATCGAGCCGAAACAGGGAACTTGTGAGAAAACGGTCGGCTTCGCCCATGTTGCTACAGAGGTGAGTCGTCTCGAGGCACCTCTAAGACATTTGCATGCATTCCTGAAACATTTCAACTCCCTACTATGTCATCTTCCATATGTTACATTACCTAATTTCCCATTAACAAAAAGTACGAGTAGATTCTGCTAATGGGATGATTCAATTCACTTCAACGCATGAATTGAACCCTTTGTTGAAGCCACAATGAGGTAAGCTAAATACTTACCGAACGAGGGTTCAACATATGACACTTGCAAAAAAATAGCATTTAACAGGAAATTGCAGAGAAAATTGCACTATGTCGTATGTTTGCCTGTCCGCGCTCTAGCATTCGAACCGTCGAATGTAGAGCGCTATGATTTTGGTGCACTAATTCCTTAGCATCCAAGGAAATGCCATACCCTCGAGACAGAACATGCTCCGAGGTACCGGTTTCCTTATATTCGCGAAAAACTGAATATTGCAATGGGAGACACAAGTTTCACATCATGTCTCATTACATCAAATATGCCTATGATTAGATTCTGACTAGAAAAATTTAAAAAGTACATGGGCTCGGTACAATCAGTGCAAGAGGCATATAGGTATCCGTAAAATAATGCATTATGAGATGATTGAGTTGCAGCCCTGCCAGCTGCCATTTACTAAAAATAAACAGCGTTTCCACAAGAGAATTACGAATGCACATGAATCCCCGTCTTAGCGAATCATTCCAAATGAGTACTAGTACCACTCGACGAAGGATCCCGCATGACCTTCGCATAAATAGATAATATAATAAATTACTCTCCTCCCCATAGAGGTGATTCTTTGCCAAAAATTCTTAATGAATCGTACGTCCATCCAAGTAAATTATTTGCATCAGTAAAGTATGCGGTACTGTGACGTACGTTGTGGCAACATTTTGAGCTTCGATTCGGAATAACTGCTAGATGTTGAGACCCAAGCTCTTGACGACGTTCTCATTTTCGTAATCACTAGCCAGGAGAAAAATAAATAAATACCTGGCTCAAATGCTACAGAGTAGAGGCGGCTAGTAAGATCTCAAATTGCGAAAAGAACAGGAATGGAAAGGGATGCGATTCGCATTTCGTTGTTACCAAGGTGGACAGGTATTCTCGCAAATTAGATTCCCACTTTCTCTAACCCTAGCCAGGGCATTTACAATATACAATTCACAAGCGTTAACTTCTGAGAAAGCAGAGATCCATATCGACGCTACAGAGCATGTCCGTCGTTTATTGTCCTCTCGAGAAGAACAATTGATTCCCTAATTATTATTACTAATTCCCTGCGAGCGATTAATCTCTGCAGGAATTCGAGTGAATCAGAGAAAGGCTGATGACGCTAGTATCGACCGGATGTCAATAGTCTAATTCAGTGGCTTCGTTTCCACGTGATCTCGATGTCCTACTTCAGCCTAACTATGAAGCGAAAACAATTTCATTTCAAGTGTAAAAAGGCTTTCGACAAACAAATATCGCCAACGCGATTCACATTCGAGGGACTAGAATGTTCAAGCATACGTCCATGCATTAAACATTGGGCATGGACTCCATGTAACAGTTCTCAAAATCGCTCCACTAATTAAAAAAATCCTATAGGATTCCTATGAGAATCCTATGCAATTCTTGTGTCCAAAGATTATCATCGATCCTATAGGATTTAAAGAAAAAGGTAGCATTACTCAAAAGCAATGAAATGCCGTTTCCTTCATAATTTATTTTCAATTCATTACGCTCGAATTTCTCATTCAGGATGTCGGGACTTTATTTGCTGCTGTCCGTGTTTTCCTGCCTGCTGCGGAATGGATCGGTCGAAGTTCCCACATATTGGGCTGCATTCGAAGGGCAGCGATATGGAAACATCTCAGAAGAAATGAATGGGGTTGATTTTTCGGACTGCAGCATGTCATGCATGAAGCACAACAAATCTCATCCTTGTCATGCATTCAACTTCAGGGAAGCAGATGGATCTTGCCAGTTGATCCGCAAAAGCAAGAGCCATATTGTCAAATCTGAAGGATACCAGGCATATGTTCAATGTGAGTGTCGTTAAGCGAGAAATCGATGGGTGAAGAGTATGCTAATTATAAGAACTTGTTTGATCTCATTGTGAGTCGTTTGCCAAGGGCAAAGTAACTCCCAATGGTCGCACTTTCTGGACTCGACAATATAAGGTATTTATATATTTGAAATATCAATTCAGCCAGCCCAATACACAATATGATTCCTCGTACATTTCCTTGCGTAATATGTATTTTTGTGGTGACACGTTACAGCTGGTTGTGCAACCTTTTTGCCAAACGGATGTTTGGCAATATGGCAACGTCATGTGAATGGAGATTCTTCGTTTCCCCTCAAAAAACTACGCTCTGAATCTTTTCCTCGCCCAAAGACTCTGTTAACGCAACAATAAGAAATCGTTTTCTATATGGATACATTTTAAATCTCACCCTTGATCACATCCCAAGCAAAACGTCGAGGGTACCATAATTGTTGGATTTTCCCTTAAATCAACATTTTAAAACTCCCTTTATAGTCTGTATATTGAATCCTTGTGCAGCGACATAGCTTGCTGGCCGAAAGACCGCCATACAAGGGATTAGTAATTGTCAAATAAGTTAATAGAAAGGCTCCTAAAATGAAATTTCAAGGAAAGAGGAATGTGAGGCAAGGCCTTACTACTCGGACATTTGTAAAGAAAAATTCCCCTTTGTCAACTTTATTGCTCTCATTTATCATCATCGGCAATGACACCTTATGAACCTCATTACCCTTTGACTCTTTGAGAGCCTACCGTGTGCACACGTATTCAGGATGTCGACTATATCAATGTTGACATTCCTCAAGCTGGCAAAACCTAAGAGTAGAGTAGAGTAGTTGGAGTAGCTTCCACGACGTCCTTATGCTAAAAAACGCTCGACTACATAACGTAACCCGAAAATGTAGTCTCATGTGCTGTAATCAACGTGTCGGAAATTGTGATTTCATATTTCGTAATTTTTCATGCTCTTACGTATTCTGCAGTCTTGTGCCTGACGGACTACCCAAAGATACAGAATGCTCAGGAAACTTTCCAAGGTTGGAATGGTGCATATCCTGCCCCACAGGGGGGTCAGGTGGTATACAAATGCAATCACCCACGGGGATTCACTGACGGCCACGAGGTACACATGGCGACCTGCGGGTCCATGCGACCTGACACATGGTGCACCACATTCGCTGACAAAAAGACTACAATCCTCTGCCCACCCCCACGTGAGCATATATGAGATCTACTTCCTGATAAACATTCCATCATGTATATGATACCGTCCGGGGTGTTCAACTTCTGAAGCCATTGATGTAATGAACATGGTGTGTAATTGTGACAGGATGTCAGACCGATGTTTCCAGAGGGGCATAAAAAATGGCTTGTCGCGGTCATAGTTCCCACGATACATTGTTAGTAACACAAACTAATGATTATACTGTGTCTCAGTGGTGGAAAGCGATAAACTGCTCAGTCTACTCATGAAATTTTGTAGGGAGGGACAACGTTTAAAAAAAATGCGGTCATATAGTATATCCCATCAATGCGATTCTTTGATAACGATAATGATGATAAAGCATCATTAATGCTTTCTGCATTAGTGCTCCACCCTGTCTGGGCACTCCGTCATCGCCTTGCCATCACCTTGCCTTCCCAGGCACCATCGCAACAGTCTTTTAAGAAACCCTCCTACGTGTATAGAACCTCCTGGTGAGAAAGGGCACCTAAGCTTGGGCACTTGAACGGGATCGATTGCAGACCTCGTTCATAGCATGAGTCCCCGTTTCTTCGGCGGCAGATGAACTTGCTTGAGGGCAAAATATATGATAGGTGGGGCGGTGAAATATTGATTTCTTTGGATGCAGCTATATTTTTCGAGGAGGGGCGGTGCAAAGGGTTTATTAGCCTGCTTCAGGTTGTAAAGTGGAAATTCGGCCGTCTGGGTTTCAAAAACTGGAAATCCTTTTGTTTTGGGGTTCCAAGAGAAGTAGAGGGAGGTCCACAATTATCTTCCCAAAAGTAAAAGCTTATTACTCTGGAAGTAAACATCCAAGTTCAACTATTCATGACTGAAACTATAGCCAATTCAGTATATTTTTAATGTGAACAATTTTAGTCTTGCATAAGAAGCAAGAACAAATTTACACCCCAATAAACGAAAGTTCCCATGTCCTGGTACTGAAGCCTGTAAATATAAGTAAAAGGGAAGCGATTTTTCTCGAAAAAGAAAGTAAAGCTAGCTCCAGTTTCACTCCCCTTTCACTTTGGGAAAGGAGCGAATTTCTTTCATCACTAAGAAGTGAAAATGCTCTTCTCCGTGAGTAGAAACGCAACCCTCAGAAAGAGATAGGGATGTTATGGAAATACGCTAATTTTCACATATACCTTACGTCTCTGTCGCTCTCGTATAGTACAGACGTTGACCTACCTCTGACTGCTGATCACAGTACATGTCGGAGGGTGGAGCTCCTCTTACGGCTTCATGAAATGTCCGGGATATCAGACCTTCATTACCACATCAAGGAGGGGTAAGGTTGAATAACGTTCACGGAAACTTTTCTTGCATTCTATGTCTCCTATGTGGATCAAAACATGCGTTCCAAAAGGGTTCTTAATAGGAATATGACCTTGTTCATGGCCTGGACTCTATGAATATGTCTTGAATATATGGATAGCAAATGGTGAAGTGTCCGTGTTTATTGATTCCTATAATGAGACTTGGCGAGACATATGTCGAGGTACTAAACAGTCCTGCGAGGGACGATTCCAGGGAAATAGCGAACTTTTGTGTATTGTGCGAAAAGCGAGACCCTTACATCCATCTAGTGGCCTGGCGAAGACCTTCAAAGTGTTCACTTCAATACGAGCGATAAGGGAGTATTTGGTGTGTAATAATGCAATAAATTTGAAAATTTCACTCTGTGCTCACTTCTTACTCTCCAAATGCTCGGAATTTTCGAAGAGTTTACAATTCCTTTCGAAAATTCGCAATTCCATCTTGAGTTTCGCAATTCATTCGTGGGTTTTTCATACATCGCGAGGAATTGTCTGTCCCCTGGGTGACCTGAATATCATGCAGAATACGAATAATACCATTTGGTTTGATGATTTGAGGAGTGCAATTTCGGTGCGGGGAAATTTTAGGAAATTTCTTCAATTTGAGTCCAAATGTCTCGAAGATCATCAAGGCAATTCGTAAGAGGTTCCTGAACCTTAAGAGATTCATCAGCGGACCTATGACTACCTAGATATGCTGAGGCTAGCCATTGGAGATGCCTTCGCCACACTAGGACCTGAGATGATTGAAAAAAATCTGATGGCATTCCGAGAGAGACTGCACGAAGTCATTGCATATTGTGGATGTCATATTGAATACTTACGATTTGGGGATTTTCATTTGTAAGGATGTAACTTAACTTAAGTTTTCTACGTAATGCTGCTATTTATCGCAGTAAAATTATATCGAATGGGCTGTGAGTCATATATAATTGAAATTGGATGCATACTTCCTAAGTAAAAGGCGTTAACTCTTGGGGAGACAATTGTGGACCACACTGTATTGAATGGGGGCGCACTGTCACCTTCGACCAATAGTTAATCACAGGCCTGAGTCCAAATGCAATTTTTCTGTTTCATGGCCTGGTTGAATCAAAACTATGGCTGTATAGATGACTACATTTGCCATTGCTAAAATGTATTCACGAGAGGAATGGACAGCTATGAAAAGAAAGATTTTCAAAAACTCTTTCACATGTTAAAAGTAAACTGACGATGGCTTCGAGGAGGGAGTGGGCGGAGGGTTGTTATAAATGAATCATTCCATGTCAAATCAATACACTACAAAATATTACCACTGGTTTGGATGAAATTTGAACCAAAGCTTTGTACCATTGAGAAAGTGAGAAATATCAAATGCTTTTGTTCTCAGTTACTTAGATATGAAGATAAGAGGCTCAAACGTCGATTTTGCTACCTTTTAACACATCTGTCCATGATTATAGCTCATAACTTCTCTACTATTCAAGGTAGGGAGATGCTTTATAGCTCTTCTTAAAGGTCTTCTGACCTTCGCGATAGTGTTATACTTTTCCTTAATATCCGAAAAAATAAGACGTAGCGATAAAATTGCGACTCGAACTCATGACGTCTTTAAAAAAAAATACCGTACGTTGTATTTCAATTAAATTCGAATTACAACCTTACGTCTTTAGGAAAAGCAGATCTGCCAAGAATCACATTGGGACATTAAAGACCGTTGGAGACATTGACAGTCTTGTAATTGAGAAGCAAAAAAATTGTCCCCTGTCAGATAACACATTGGGTTTTGAAGAGACTTAATCAAATCTTTCCCCTCTATGATCTGTTCAAGACCATTACGATAATATGGCCATCATGTCAAACTTCATCATCACTGTCATTAGCAATGGGATACTTGGGATAAATGTGTTAAGGAAACCGTGTCTTGTTTGGTTATTGTGTAAACTCCCATTGAGTTTCATCAAAGAAGAAATCATGATGCTCACAAGAAAAATAATCTATTCATGATGCATCTTGCATTTTATTTATGTACATCAATGCAGAAAGAGGTTAATATTACATGTCCACGAATAAACGTTAAATCCACATGTGTTGCTTATCCTCCGACCATTTATGAATTGACAGGCCATGTCGAAGTATCATGCAACAATCGGCCGCTTTTACTCCTACATGTCTGATTTCTCGCAAACGACCACGAGCTGCATTCTTCTATGGCGTGTTGGAATGACCGAATTCGAATGACATTAACAACATCTAGCTAGATGAACTGATTGCTGAGTGGTGGGATTTTCCCCATTTGTGTCTTAAATGGTCAGCATACGACGTAATTCATATATTCCTCTTTCCCACTCTTTTCACTTCTGTCCAGACGTCTCTTCCAGGGCACGAGAGATGCGAGGCGCCAGCACATCTCTGTCAGACTGCTTCCTGAAAGATTTTTCGATCCTGTTTCCTGCCTTCTTCCCAATCCAGCACCATGGTCGTCAAAAGAAGGAGCAGGCTTTCGTCGATATAAAATGTATACGTGGAATGAGCGAGGGAAAGTGGGTATTGCAGACGGGAAAATGTTTAGTTAATGCGCCATGACGTCTCGAGAACGACACATACGTGCATTTGTTTATAATTACCATTGAGTCTGCTATGTCCCAAGGATAATAGTGCAAATTAGGCGTTTCTGCGACCAAGGGTTTCAAAGAGTCGCATGGAAATCGTGACCTTTGACCTCAAATCATTTGGCCGTGACCAAAACGAGCCAGCAGTCTGCTCCAAGGGTCCCTCTCGAAGGGCAGTAGAATAATTATTAGGCAGAATTCTGATCCAGGGGGGTTATATTTATATTCCTATAGTTCCTTACGATTGCAAGTGAATCCTTACCGGATGTTTTGATGTTAGGGAGTCTTTTATTTGACAACAGGGTGGCATGCACCGCTACTCCCTCCATGTCGTTGCCACATTGTTTGGTGAACATGTGTTGCCCGACTTTAAATTTCATTCGTAATATAAAGCAATCAAATGCGGAGTCTGTCATGGGCAACCGAGACTGTCATAATTCGGAGTCTTCTTGCATCTTGAGCGATTTTTTCTAGCAATAGTAATTCCTGGTACTGTATGGGAAGGAATCGATTTAAGCCGGAGAGAATCCCCGTCAATATGTTAATTTCAAACGTATTCCCCTTTCATGGCAGGGTCATGCGTGAGTGAACATCCAAAGATAGAGAATATGTCTGCGAACGTGACCTACAAGGACTGGGATGGGAAATACCCTGCTCCTCCAGGTGCAACCGTCATATTCAGCTGTCCTGCAAGGTTCAATGACGGGTCCTTCGAACACAATGCTACTTGCTCTTTGCTGCATGATCATGATTGGGACACTTCCTTTCAGAACAAGGATGTGCAATGTCCACGTGAGCCTCTCCGGTCATACCTTCGAAAATGTCATTCTTTAGGAATACCTTGGTCGCCTGAGAATCTCCTGAAAAAAGTGGGAAATATGCAATCTGCGCAAGCGCTTCACAGAAGTTCGATTACCGTTCCATGGTCGACCAACATTTCCAGAAGTATTTCCTAGGGAACAGAGTCAATCCATGACAAGTGGTCTAAAGTTGCTGCAAGGTTGGTGGTTGAATCACCGACCGGGATATTGATGTTATAAATAATGTGCCCTGGGGGGTATGAGCATTGGGTAAATCTGAAAGGTCTGCAGTGTACGTCAAAGGGTCGTCCAGATATGTCCCTTGAACCTTTTAGAGGGAATGATAAACTGATACCTCAAACAAATTCATTACTTCCGGAACTGCTTAAGCTAGGAAACAGAAGAACAGCTTACTTAAAAGTAAGTATCATGGCCTCTCTAGGTTTTTCTATGGGATTTTCTGTGCCTTGATTAAACGAAGTAATTTATTTTGAACGTCATTGAAACCTCAATTTTCAATCCCCCCAAAATTTTCTCCTGTGAAAATACTTGTTACCCAACCAGCTTTGGAGCGTCTTCCATGTTCTATGAGCTCATTCAAGAGATTTATTCATGTTGTTTTTAGGTCGCTTAAAAAGTATGCTATGCGGACTTAAATTAGGAAATTTTGCAGCATTTTTTCAGCTCTGACATTAAATAACTTCAATAATTCCGCCTCTATCAAGTACAAGGAAGAAAACCTTATACTTAATATTGTGAGCTTGACACGGCTTGGAAAACACATAGGCGCAATTTAAACTCGTCATACTATTAAAAATTGTATTAAAATGTACATGACATCGATTATTAAAATTAAAACAAAGCAATAATCATCGCGCTCATGTCGCATTTCCTGTTAATCGAACTGCAATGTATCACTAAACCTTGACCTCATGCATCTCACCTAATACGTTTTGTTATCGTTTGAAGGAAAAAGTCCGGTGTTTGATGATTATTTTCATAATAGCGGCTGTATATCCTGACTGCCGTCTGTCGGAGAGTGGGAAGGAGTACATCGGTACCACGAACGTGACAGATTCAGGGAAATCATGCCTCAGGTGAGATTCCAAGCAAGTGACTTCTTCGTATGGTTCCGTGGAGGCAGGATTCAATGGAGTCTTGTCTTTCGAGGAGCACTTCTTGAACCAGGACCCGTCCTGGCACGAGAACTTCTGCCGGAACCCGACAAAGATGGCTAGGCCCTGGTGCTTTGTCGACGATGATGGTGTGAAGATGGAGTTTTGCTACATTCCCCTTTGCGATGATTTAAGTGAGATTTGTTTTCAATTTCGTCTGGGAGAGTCTGCTTGGTAGATACCAGTCTGATATTTGAGAATATGAACATCGACACCCCCGCTGGCAATCTTGAGATAGTTTTAGTATTTGGCATTTCGGTTTTCTTTAAGTTAATATAACTTAACTCCTACGAAGGGATAAGCTTCTCACACCGCACATTCGTACTAAACCGAAGCCTTCGTTCACATTCCCCACGTGATGATACCACTCTTATTAGACGAAGTTCTTGTTTAAGATTGACCTCGAGTAGCAACTGGTTCATTAACTACTCTTGAGGGAGAAGGAGGCCTTAAATCCCTCCCATTAAAATGGAATATCTATGATAGTTCTAATTCAAACGACTCCAACGGGTTACTCTGACGACTTGCAACCATTTGGCAGTGTAATGTTTTTGTTGATTGGAAGTCGATATTCAGTGCGAATCATTGCCTCTCCTCTCAGGAAGCTAGAGACTGATGACCACAGACGGAACAGGAACTTTTTAGTTCGTATCATCAATGCCATTCCATTATGGAATCAGGTGACGGGCTGAAAACTAACTTTCCTCATTTCAGACCAGTATTACTTGTTATTGGAGCTGACTTTCACCTTTACGTTTAGTAAAGTTCCCAGTTCTATAGAATTCTAATGTATGTCCCCGTGCTACATTTCGAAAAATTGATCGGATAAAGTATGCAATAATTCTCCGAAGCGTAATTAAGTTTAATTAGTGGTGACTCCCTACAATAGCGACTTCCAAACAATTTTATATCGCAAATGGCAACCTGCAGATTATTTACCAGCATCCCCGATTAATAATATCTATAGAGTAGAGGAAATGATTTTCGAAGGATGGTTCATGATGTGCATGAAGTACGATTTCAAGTTACCCTGCTTCAAATGAGGATGACACTGTGTTCAGACTATATTCCATAATCTAAAGTTCTATCGTGAAATCCAAAAATTGCACCAATATTGCCCCGCGTATGTCACGGATCGTCAAGGGTTGCAAGACCCTCTGACTCGTTTCATTTCGCGCGTGCTTGCAAGTCTCCATCTTAACGCAGGGATCTGAAATTAAAAGGAAGAACTACTTACATACATGAAAATAGTGAAAAAATTTTGGGAATCTGACAGTAAGAAGTCAATTTTTCCTGGAACTCTTTGACCAGCCATCGTAATGGTAGACAATTTTGTGAACGGGTTTACGACCGCGGGTTTACGACCCGCGGCGAATCATTATGAGGGTGCTGAGAGATGTTACATTTTCGCGATCCTGTAGATGACAGGACAAAGGAACAGGACGCCATTTCGTCAATAAATATTTCTCTAACACTTCTTCGACTGGACGCTTTGTGTAATGGCTTCCGCGAAACGTCCAGTCGAAGAAGTAGCGGATGAGTGTCTTTCGAGGTTGTGACACGTAACCGTCCAGAGGACAGTCCTTTTAACGATTGGACTGTCCTCTACATGATATGATCCCCTGTTATAATGTGACTCCAAAAGTCTCTAGTAATTTTACATTCAGAAAAGTTTAAACTTCCCTTCTTATTGAGGTGCATTTCGAGAGCAACATCGACATTGAAAATGATTATATACAGCACTAACTAAATGCTGCAGACTTACGTGAAGCACTGTCGTAAACCGGCGAAAGGACATGGAACGTTACAAAATTCTGAAATATGAACATATTGATAATTGGAAGCCGCTGCTATATCAACGGAGTCCGTAGTCGACAATGCCTCGTGTTCCCATTGTTCGTACGGAGCACTTTGTCCGGAAAGGCATTCAGTATAGTGCTTTTCTTATATCAGGAATTAAGCCATTGCGCCAAATAATGTAGAACGGTTAGATGATTGGTCCTTTGACATAATGAGTATCGCCTACATGTAATGAGCTTCCAATTGAAATCCATAGGATTCAAATGAGCCTTACCGAATGTATTTGGAGCTCCTGGAATCATATGAAGAAATATGAATGGTACCCGCCATCAGAGACTTCCAATTTTCCTCATAGGAAAAAGTTCCAGTGAGTTCCGTCCTTAGCATTCTGAAGCAAGACACCTTTCAAATTTCAAACATACACGCTTGCAATCAATGATATGGGATATGTTCCGTCTGTACGAAAACCCACATCTTCCGCATGCAAATGTTCAGAGACTTCTTCACTTTAGCCCTAAAGTGAGAGCGGTCGTACTAATTTCGAAGGTCCTTGTCTTCGATGAAAAACAGGGCAAGATGTTGATATCTGCTGGGATGCGCATTTGCTTGATAGGACCTATATTGCCCATGCATTGGGCGTGTAGATCGGTAGGTAAAAAAATTACAATCAGGTGGTAGCGAATACTTCATCGGAGACGGACAGTTCTAAAGCTTAGAGGCCTAAGCGAGCAATGTACCCACTCGATCGGGGAACGCGTTTTGGATTAAGTGCGAATCATGGTATCTGAACACTTCGCCCGAGAAAACGTTCAGTTGCTATTCTTGTCCCCGAAATTTGGACTTAAAGAAATAAAGCATATCAATTGAGATTTACTCTATAGGTACTTTGGAGTATACATAGCGTTCGTGTTTTCATCAGGGGGCTTTAATAACTTAAATTTTTGGGGAAAAAAAACACACTTGGCAGAAACTAATCAGGTTGAGAGGGGATATTAGCTAAACGATTTGTATGTATTATTACTATTTTTAACTTAACCCGTTTAGACTTCAATGTTGGGGCTCTATTTCTGGGACTCGAAAATATGCTGGAAATTGTCTTAAGATATGCCAGGTTTCCATTTGCCCCTTTTTCGGTAACACGCTGAAAATTTATTGGAAGTCCTTCCGCTACCTTTGAGTCGAAATGTTGCCTGAAGATCCCTTTTGGAGACTTATCTAAATTAGCGCTGAATAAGAACAGCACGATTCAGTTCAACAAAGCTTTAAGAGACTTGAGATTTTTCTCATGTCGTAGCCATAACTGCACTGCCAGATGTAATGAATCATCCTTTCTCCATTTACTTTTCTTTTCTTCCCCTACCACATGAGTCAAATGGGAATATACAAATTGGTAATATTTTGCCAATATCTCCTGCAAAGAAGGTGCTTTGTCGATGATGATGATGTGAATAAGGAGTTTTGCCGTATTCCTCTTTGTGGTGACTTTAGCGAGGAATCGTTTCAATTTCGTTTGGAAGATAAATGTCCCAAATATTAATTTACTGCAAGTAGTCTTCAAGATATGCATTTCTGAAGCCGCATCCAATAATGTATCACCGCCAATTAAATTGATTGTAATTCAAAGTTCAAGATTTCACCCGAACAAGTAGAATTCGGTTCAGAGATGGCGTACATTTTCTGCAACTAATACTTGTTTGTTGGGGTTGGGGGGCCTCGTTTCCACGTCTAGGCGCGCCGGAATGCAAGTTGAGCCAGAAGGGAGGAGAGTACGTGGGCACGAAAGACAGGACCATTTCAGGCTTCGCCTGCGTGCCATGGCTAGATCCGGACAGAAGTGAAGGTGACATGATGCGTGGCGCCCGTGAAGGGTCATTCCCAGATGAAGTCACAAAAAGCCACAAGATCTGCCGAAACCCTAACGGTAACCCAGGTGGTCCTTGGTGCAACATCAAAGATTCCCGAAAGCCGAACCTGAAGTGGGAGTACTGCGATGTCTCTTTCTGCGATTTTGACGATTCGGGAGGCGGAAGCAAGTCGGGAGGCCAATATGAATCAAGTGAGTTAGTGTAATCTCTACGGACTAGGGGACCATGGCCGCCAGTGCGGTCTCTCACCCTGGGACATCTACTTTTTTTTTAACGGCTCATCAACTAAGAACGGTCTCAGCCAGTTTCCTGCTCTACAAATTTGGTTCCATGTCAAAGCATCGGCGCCAAAACATCGAAACGACAGAACATCGACGACAAAACGTGGACGCGAAAAAACTTCGACAAGACAAAATATCAACGTGATAATTTTTGAGATCGTTATTGTTGCATATATATGTTGAAGGGCCTTGCTGCGATCCTCTATCAATCCAGGATATCTGATAAAATACAGGTTGAGGATGGCGTGCTTGCTTCAGCGAGCTTTTTGGTGCTGTTCATCCGTCTATTATTTATTGCTTGGTTACAACTCTTAATGAAATAACCGACTTTTTTCTTAGTTTCATTGGCACGCAAAGTCAAAAGGATTTCAAACCACGTCAAAGAGGCCAAATACAAAGAATAAAGAATTAGAATAAGGTATCGGCTTTTGTCAAGAATGAGAACGGGAGAATATGCTTAATAGCGGAGCATGTCGTTCCGCGGTTCAAAATTACACCTGGCGATTGAAATTATATGCAATCCTTTGTAAATATCAATACTTTTTCAAGGGCCGCTGCTCATAATCCAAATCAATGGAGTTAATTCGGAGAGCGCCTTGACGATAAACTTTGCGGCACGAAGGAGGGCGTTGTCCTGCAATATATTGTTCTATCCTGAGTTCATTCAGGCTTTGCTCCTTCTTGAGACAATCAATAAACTTCCAGACAGAAAGATGATTAGCCCCCAGAAGCTGGCTAAAGCCACGATGCAATCCCTTGACTGAATTTGTTCTTGGTAGTCCATCTGGAGCAGCCTCAAACCAGTTCCATAAGATGATGGAGTACAGAGGATCTCTCATGTGACCTCCCGTATCGGGGCGCCCAATCCAAGTGTCCTCGAAGTAATCCAAGAATGAACGCAGCAATGCTTCATTCGTTGCATAGTATTCAGAGTCCACTAGCTCTTCAAAGGCTGTAACGACATTTGTTTCGGGAAAGAGTGCCGATAAAGCTAGTTGTCGAATGTTTAGAACAAAGTTCGGGTCTGTAGCATATTTATCCTGGAGTCCACTGCTCTGTATATTCCGCCAAATGCATTTACTGAAAATGGAAAATGCATACACACTGCCGAGCAGTTGGAAACGCAGCATGGAAGGCACTTTGCTCATAATGTAGTCTTTCAGAATTGAAGCAGGATATGAACCTGCTCTCGATGCTTTCAATTCCGAGAACATGCGTAAGTACAGGGTGGCGCAAAATATGCTAATGACTTTTTTCTCTGTAACTTTGGAACGAAATGTAATAACTGAACTATCTAAACGTGAATGAAAGCTTCATTCTTGGAATTTTTTTACATCATATGTGAAAAATCATATCGGCCAAATGATCATCCCGTCTTGCTCGCAAACATGTGCTCTTCTCACGGCATTTTCCATGACATTTCTCAAAGTTTCAGGAGATATTGCGGCTATCTCATGCCGGATGTTCTCTTTTAGAATCTCCATGGTTTGATGGTTACTGGCATACACGTTATCCTTGAGATAGGCCAAAGAAAAAAGTATGGGGCGGTCAAATCCGGCGAGTGCGGTGGCCATCTCACATCACCAATTTTCTATATAATGCGATTGGGAAAATGCTACCTTAGGAGGTCCATTAATGCTCGAGCGGGGTGAGACGTGGCGCCATCCTGTTGGGACCCCATACTGTGGTGTTCTGGTAGCTGTGGCATCAAAAATTTTCTTCAAAATTTCGAAGTGCAGTGTAAATTGTGTTCCTACTCGGTGCCTGGCGAACGGTGAAATTGTCGATATGCTCGTTGTGTTAGAACTACTGACCAATTATTTTCGAAGAACATTGAGACTAGTTTGATCCGCTGAGCAATTGTGTATCTCTCCATAATTAAATTCTCCCAGGGTTACCTGTAAGAAAAACACAAAAAAATTACAAACCTAAAAAAAAACTTTACAAGTTATGATTTTTTTTTACTGTTCAGCTTATTTTGCGCCACCCTGTATTTCCGGTTTGGTTGGGCATCACAGCGAAACCGGTAGGTACCACATCGTGATACTTCACACCATGAATTGTATAAATTTGCGCAAAGAGGGGAAGTGAGGTCTTGGATGTTGCGTCAGCATTCACAGAAAACCTCAAAAGGTAATGTGACAAGGCAAGGATGGTGGTATTAGACTGGTAACTTCACCGTCATCTTACTTTTTATCTGACCTATAAATGGGTGATCACATTTTGCCATAAAATTCATGTTTCCGATTTTTCCCTGTGCCGCCGTCATACATTAGAAAGGGATCACCTGTACATGTTTTTTTTGTATTTTTCAGAAACCCTTAGGTTGTCCAATCGACTTGGGGTCGGCAATGGGACTGTAGCTCTCTGCCTCGCCCGGTGTTCAATTCTTCTCATGGACGAAAGGGACGGCAATTGCCCACTTACTGAATCTGACAATCTAGAAATTGATTTGGCGATGATGTTATGAGCACCGTCCAGTGTTCTAATGAAGTCACACGGAGCCAGTCGAGTGAATCATTTCAGTATCCAAGACCCTAAATCCTCCCTCCCTTTAGCCCAGACCCACCTCGCAGGTTATAAGCAATGATTCCAACTTCGCATTTTTATGATTTTTCCGTCTTCTCCCCATATCCTCAATGCCCCTCGAGTTTGGTGGTTCTGTATGGTACGGATGAGGTTTAGGAAAGTCTACACCCTCGGAACTGTTTCGATTTACGGGCTGGGGGTGAGAAGAAATTCGATTCTGAAAAAAAAGATTGCACGAATTCTCTGACGAGGGATTCCATGGTTTCGTGGCGTGTGCCATAATCATTACAGAGTAGATAAAGTTTCTTGCAAGAGCAGGAGAGTAAGATATAGGTAGTACGTTTTTGAGGGTGGCAGGCGTGTCGATGAGGATCTGCACATGAACTGATGATGAGTCTACCTGGCATCTTCCACCGAGTTCTTTAGTCCTGGCCCCACGGGAAATCACTCGGCTCGATCGCGAGGAACCAAAAGTCGCTGGTGACTTCTGAGCTTTTTGCATCGAGTACTGAGCACTTCTCTTTACTCATGTGCAGGTAGATCGCTCTTTGTAAGGCATATCATGATCACAGACGTTCGTAATATTTCGCCCGAGAAATCGTGGCTTTCCTTTTTCAAGAGGATATCCCTTTCGGCATATTGGAATATATTTTCTCTTTTATTTATTTCCAGGGCCATCAATCACGAATTATGGGGAGTTTTCTAGAGGCTATGTTTCATCAGATAGAGGAACATTTGATTCGTCAATGCTCCATTCACCTGATGCTATCCTGAGCCTAAAATGGCTTTCCTAAAGAATATGGTGTCACACAGGTGCCGGATCTCAACTTAAAACTTCTTTTATTCCTTAGTTATAAATATATATAAACATTCGGTTGATTGAAAATTTTAGACAATGGGCACTCACTATGAGCATTCAGAATATATAGGATATTTTTGGTATTTACTGCCAATTGCCCATTGGGCACTTCAATACGTCATTAAGTGCGTGAATAATCCACTGCCGCAAACTCTACCAACTCCATCGGCGTGAATCACACCTTTTTTTTACAATATTTTGCATTAATGTTTGACAAATATAAATCATACTATACTATTGAGGTACTTTTCACTCCAGGGAAGAGGGTTGCTTCTTTTCTGCTACTCATGCACATGCACAAATGGGTCCCAAATTGATTGTCATTCCATCCCAGACGGAGAAGTGCAGCTCAATTACGAAGAATACCGAATCACGGTGATGGGGAAGGAATACATAGGTGAAGAGAGCAAGACGGAAACAGGGGAGGAATGCATTCCCTGGGCACGTGTGACTGACAGAGGCTTTCCGTTAACAAGTTTCATTTTCTCCCACCTACCATTCCAAGATCGCCAGCTCCCTGGACCGCCTCAGAAGATCGTGGATTTCCTCTACCTCTGGATTGAAATAGGTCAAAATACGGAATCACGCTCAGATAAGGTCAACACCTGCCGAAATTTCGGCTCGAAGCAGCGGCCCTGGTGCTTCGTCTCCGTTGAGAATCCCGCCTGGGAATACTGTGACATCCCGTTCTGCCGTGGTCCCAAAGGTTTGCAAATATTGCAAGAAGTTTCCTAACCTTTTGAAGTGCAAGTTTTCTTTGCGCTGTATCTCGCTGTACGAGTATATCGCTGCCAGTTTGAGTTTTTTTCCACCTAACATTAACCCTTTTTCCGATAATAAATCACGTAATTGAGGAAATGGAGATAATAACTTACAACTTTGACAAGTTCTCGCTTTAGATGCACAATTGCTGAAACATTTCCAGTTTTAAATTTAGGGACGTCAAGAGCATGAAATCCTTTTTAAGATGTTAAGATATTAATAATATGAAAAAAGGGAAGATTTTTTCCCCCATATTTATTGTTTGTTGTATATCGTCCTCGCCTGTTAACAATTTATTTGAATCCTTCATCACCCCCATTCTACAGAACTTTTACCTTGACATCATGGCCATACCTTCTAATATCTTGAAACATATCACAAATATCACATCGCAATTGGCGCCCTAAAACAATATACCACCAATAACTGAGACAAAATGTACTACCTCAAAAAATATTATATATATTAAAAAAATGTAATGAAGCGGCGTGCGTGCGTGCGTGCATATGAAGCCTCCAATGCCTGGGCCCATGTGTGTACTGTATGTCAGCAAGTCCAAGTGCGCATGTGCCGCGCCTTTTGCCTGCCTCTAGTGTACGCCCAAACATCATGTTTATACAGGTATTAATTTCATTTAAACTGAATGTAAATTTTTTTGTCCATTTTATATTTATTTTGCGCAAACCATTGTCAAGATAAGGTCAACATGTTTCCAGAAATGTCACCTCTGTAACACGTAAAAGGTGATATACAATTAACGTAAATTTACGTAAAATTGACATTCCCGTTTGCATTCTAAGTAGCATGTTTACATTCTATTAATATTCATGTAAGATTTTCCCTCCTAGAATTCATGTGTATTTAACGAGCCAATCAGTACAATTGAAGAGGGTACACTGGTACGCTGTATTTCCCAATCCTTTCCATACTTCAGAACTCTAGGGTGGTTGGACGAGTACACGAATACTCATCCTCTTGAGCACTCTAGAGTATCAAAATGACCTACATTTTCCTTCTTTCGTACCGGAACGTCGGGAGGAGGAGTAGATGTTTAGAAGAGCTCTCATCCATTTAGGAAAGAGAAAATGTTTTATTTGCGGGGCTGGGATGCTACTCTTCCCTAATCCCATGCACTGCTGTAATGAAAAGCTTTACCTCAGCATTTAATGATTCCTAGAGTCAAATATTACAAAAAATATAGTAATTTCATGTTTTCCATATATATATATATATATATATATATATATATATATATATTAATCGACCTAATATTAAAGAAACATATTGGCAAAATAGGCAGTTACCTAGCTGGGCAGTAAACTGCCCCCAACCAAGGTGCACAGATAGAGTAAGAGAAGTTATTTGGTGCCGAAATTGCTGGAAACTACCCAAGGGCAACAGAAAATGTCCAACCTTTGGACCCAGAAGCGCGGGACTTAGAGATGAGAGTCCGAATTACTAGAGACAGCCTGCAGGTATGGGGCGAGGCTAAAGGAAGTTAAAAAGAGAAGGGACAGCGAAGGATCCTATCCTAGAAATTTGTCAGGCAGCCTGCGTCGTCAGGGGGTTGAGGCCACAAGTCTGACTAAACAAACCCTACCCATAAAATTTCTACGACCAGGTGCTACGGCCTATGGAATTAAACAGTAAGACTGTACCTAATGCCCGAGAGGCAATCACGGCTTAAGTCCGTCTGTCAGTGCCACAGTTAACGATCGATTGGCTCGATCATTTGATCATTGGATCATTTGATCGAGCCAATGGATCGTTAACTGTGGCATAGACAGACAGATTTAACATTTTTATTTGACTCTTTGTCTCAGTAGTCACATTCATGCAGAGTTTCAGTTTTCTATGTTCATCAGTTTAACTGATAAACAATTAGTTGAAAACATCTCCCTTTAAAATTTGTGCCAACTGGGCATTTAATTCTGAAGTCTGAAATTTTCTGCAGCATCCCAACAGGTAATGTGCCAAGTTTCATATTTCCACACTAGCTCAATACGCCAGGACAAAAAAAAATACTTGAAAACGTCAGCTCTCAAAAATATGCCCCGAGGGTATGAATCTAACCTTTTTCATTTTTCCTAAACTCATCGTATGGGTAGGCACGTCCTTGAAAAGTTTCATCTTTCCATGTCTCTCAGTTTTACTCAAGCAAGAATAAGGTTCTGATGGGGGAATGAGTGGGGAACAGGAAATTTAAAAAATACCAAAAGCAAGTCATGGAATGGCTGGGAATTGAACCAGGACCGTCTGATTACCAGTTAGAGATGCTACAACTACACCACCACGACATCCGGTTGGTTCCCTGAATGCCATCCTCATCTGTCACAAAATATATTCAAGAAAATCGTTTTCCCCCAAAATGTGTACCCCCAGGGCATGCACCTCCAAAGTCGGATTTTTTCTGAACTCTACATCCCAAAAGGTATATGTGTACCAAGTTTCAGATTTCTAACCCTTCTAGAAC